TTAGTTAAGAGGTTCTGAAATACCAGAGATGATTATATGAGCAGACAACTGATACGCCTTTTGCTGAAGTGGCTATTTTGAACAAGTGTGTGCTTAAATCCACTCAAAACCACCCATATCAAAAATATTTGTATATGAAAATGTTGCAAACTAGATCTGCACTGTAGTGTCTGAAGTGTGGGGTTAAAGACTCTTGATGTATTTATTCTTACATCAGCTTTAATGGAAAAAGTATTATTTTGCCTATTTACACAAATTATCTGCATTAATTTTCAGTATGCATATAAAAAAGAGAAATAAGTTCCCACTTTTAAGAATGGGTTTTAGCCCCATTGTACCCTATTTGAACTTTCAGCGCACCAGTATAAGCCACAGAAGTTGATAACATACTCCATACCTCTGTCATGAAAACAGCTGAAGAAGAAAGAGTTCCCCAGCAGACTGCAAGAGGAATCTTAGTAAGTACCTTTTTTTTGTGACACTCAGTGGGGAAGATGAATCTGAGAAGTGACGTATCTGAGCTGCTATCCAAAGGATTAAATGTCTGATTCAGAGTTTGGGTGAGAAAACCGCAGCTATTGAGATCAGTTCAGTTCTGCCACTCTTCAGCTTTTGAGCGAGAGATTTTTACGTTTCTAAAACGGCAAACTGTCACTTACGTTCCGCTTTGGCTTTCAAAAGCACACAAATTCACATTTGGCACCGAAGCAATAGCAGTAACAACAATTGAAAATTGTTGGAAATTCCACAATCTACGCCATTGGATATAATGTAGCCACGAGTGAATGGCTGACAGGCTCTATAGGCCTAGTCCTCATATGTTATTTTACATTCAGCCTCAAATAGAGCTCTGCTGAGTCCAAAAGCTGAGCTGTACTGTGGTAGGCATACCAAATTGATTACAGGCGGCCTGCATCAATTATTAATGCAAGCACTTTCTTCAAAGTGCATCTTTAATGTCAAGTGCAATACTCCTAGACTCACCTGACCAACATCAACAACAGCTCAGACCAGACCAAGATCGGCTCACTTTCGCAGGCATGTTGCCAGATGTGACCTTGATGTTGCTGTAATGGGAAGTTTAGTTTTTGCACACAATCGGCAGAATCAAAGTACAGCGGGATCAATAGTTAAACATAAATTGTGCTTTGATGCCTCAATACTGTTGATGGTTTCCCCCCAACAAATGTAATTAAAATCAGAGTTAAGTGCCCTGTTTGCTGGCCGCTGAGGAGCTACTGCTGTTTCAATTTATAAGCAGCGACGCGCTCGACTCTAATGTCGGACCCGATATGCAGTGACATTTCTAGGTTGTAATTTGTTCTACATTCTTGTATCATGTTCTGTTCCGTTGAATTGAATGCTACTGCCTAACATTACATTTCATTTACGCTTTGTCCCATTGTTCTGTGCTCGACTCAATTGGATTACGCTCTATTGAATTACCTCTTACTCAGTTCTGTTTCATTCTGCCCTTGTCTTATGAAGTTAAAGAACAGACTGTGGCCTCCGGTGCTATTGACTCACCAATGATCTAGTCACATTATCATGGACATGTTTCAGAGCATATGGCTCTATGTAAGAGGCTGTAACCTCTCCAAGTAGCTTTTTAACGGGGTCTTTCTTTTCTTGTTCATCCGTTTGTGCGCGTGGCTTTGTGGGATATGCTATAAAGTGGAGCAGAATCAAGTTTAATGCTGTTTAATTTCTTATCTGTGCTGAACTGCTGCATCTGTTCGGTCATCGAAGTTTTGAAGATCCTGAGAACAATAGTCAGCAAAAACAATCCACTTTCTGTGTTCTGGCAAGAACTATTCGATGTGTTCGATATAATAAACTAAGTTAAATGAAATTAAATTAAAAGTAGTTAGTTTTAAACATCAAATGTCTGTCTTTCCCCCATAAAAAAGGTAATATTGGCCTGTTCCACATCAGAGATCTTGACCTTGGACTACATCTAAAAACATGACCTTCTTGACTAGTGACTAAAATCAGAGAATTATCATAGGTGGCACTACTTTAGTTAACATAACTATGAGAAATACTACTAAAGCATTTATTAATCATAGTTAATGTTTTCAACATACTAATACATTTGATACATTATCAAAAGTTGTATCTGTTACTATTATTTAATGGACCTGAGCTAATGTGAACTAACAATGACTACGTTTACATGGACATCAGTAATCTAATTATTTACCTTATTCTAAATAAAAATTTAGACCCTTCTCACTGTAAATTTATTATTAATCTTTCGCTATATCTTTACATTCATAAGTGTAAATTTTCAAAGAAAACTCCCTACTTTTTTATTTTCAGGAAAGATTTTGATGTATATGTAAACTCTTTAAGAAACTCTAATAATTCTATTGCATGTAAGACTCTTTCATG